GTGGCAGGTCCTTCCGAAGATCCGATCGGCTCCATGTCATTTCACCTATTCTTGGACCCAAATACATGCTGTTCTTTCACCTGTTCTTGGACCTCAGACTGCGAACTTCGAGGCGCCAGAAAACCCCGCAATGGCCTGTGCGTTTGGAATGCCATGTTCGTTGAAACTGAGATGTGGATGTGGGGGCACCTTCCAACACTGAAAGAAGAAATCCTGCCTGCACTGCCAAAAGTGCCAATACAAGTCAACAAGCAAATAGATAGAAAAAAATGTCAAGCACCATCATGCTAGTTTCAGGGATGACTTGTTCGAGCTTTGGATTCCCATGCGGTAAACATAAAATTGGTCATGGCATGTCCTGGCTTTCCTCGGGAAAGCTGCACGAGGAGTTGCTCCGCAAGCTGGCACTCCACCTGGCCGCGCAGCCGCATCCCCTGGACCAGCCGCCGGTGCAGCTGGAGATCGAGCCAGCCTTGGAGCGATCGTCGGAGCAGATTGGTGAAGCGACTTGGGACTGCCTTTCAGAGAGCGAAAGAGATGGGTATGGGGTTGGGTGGATGTGGAGTTGGCGGATGCTGGCGATGGGGAGAGCGGTGATTGGGAGAGGTAGTTTGTACTCCAAAACTGCAGCAACACTGTCTTTATACATATCGTTCATGCCATTTTCAAGCCAGAGTTCACCCCGAACCTCTTGAGGTGTTTGATGTGGTTCTAATGGGTTCTCAATTGGATCCCCTTTTTGATGGGAACTTTCCTGTAACAACCACCAAGTTTGGGGCTTGTAATGGTAGAATGACTGGCAAACCCATCGGCCATGGTGGAATTTGTGGGTATAATCCATCGAGCGGAACGTGTTTGTTGATTTCACATGATTTCTTTTTTAATGCATAGTTAGGATTAATGAATCTCCCCTAGTTAAACCGAGCCCACACAGCCCCGAAAATTCACCCAAATTGAAAGTATTATTGGAGCTAAATTACCCCCCCAATAGTGTACCTGTCATCTAGAACCCCCCCAATTAAACCGGGCCAGACAACCCAGCAAATATGGTTATTTAATTTTGTTTGATTAACTAAGGGGATTTATTAACCATGGTGCAACTACCATCATCATGCTGCTCATCTCTATATCCAATCAATAGCATATTTTATATTATTCAGGGGCAGTGGACCTCATGAATGGTAACCTCAGACCTTCTGGATCTTGTTGACCTTCTATGTGGGGGGGCGCGATTTATTAATCCGGGGTTTGCATCATATTCACCTATTTTCCTGGGTGTTCTCTCCTGAGACTATGTGCCCCTTTCAGCTTTATAGGTGGCACAAGGGAGATCTGAGTCCAGTGGTGCTACTGCACCAGTTAGAGTCGCAGTGGGAACAGTAAGAACATGTCAAGCAACAGTCTAAAGCTAATGTCCTTGAAGGGTCTTCATGTCGAAATGTGGAAAAAGATCATAGCATGACGCAGAAAACCAACAAATGGGTCTGAATGAGTTGTGTACAATACACCAGAGGTTCGACCAACACGCAAGCGTCCATGCGACCCAACGGGTCGTCGTGTGGGACACTGAGGACAAGGCGCACTGCGAGCGGCTCTTGGAAGACATGGACGCTCCGGAGCGCAGGCGCCACGAAAAAAAGCTGCGGGAAAAGCTGGGGAAGCCAACGGCAAGAATGGCCAACAACAGCAGAATTGACCAATTCCTTCCATTCGAAGTGGTGCTTGTAACACAGACTCTTCAGTTTTAGGGAGCGGCACCGGAGATGATACTGTGAGCCCGAACATGCACTTGGTCACGGTGGTCTAAACACCATCACTCTGGAACTCCAACTGCTATCAACTATCAGCTACTTCAGATGAACATCCCCAAAGCATGACGTATGCATCTTTGGGCTTGTCGCATACGGGAAGATCTCTTTCCTGGTGCCCTCCTGAAGACCTTGAAAAACCTTTCGAAGACTCAAGAGGTTCCTGTGCTGCGCAGGTCTGAGGCCATGTCCTGGGTCCTCTCCAGTGGCAAGAGCCTCTCCTTGACCCAGTTCGGCTCTCGTGTAGTGCAGCCCGGAGAAGTCGTGAGGGGTGGTGAATGAGCAAGTCGGATGACAAGTATTGGGCATTGTACACCACCTATATACAGTTACCTTCGATGCATCAATCCATCGAAGACATGAGAGGTTTGCAGTACCTAATGCACTTGATTCCTGTATATTCTCCTGTTTGGAGTGTAATTAAAGCGTCTTCATTACTTAAGTCTACATTAGTGGGGGTCGCCATCGACTGAAAGCATCACCCAGTGCTGGCGTCGACTGGGGTGCTCAGCTCATCACTGGCGTCTTGTTGTGCCAGCTTTGCTAACCCGGAAAAGGACATGGGAATGAACGAATGCCTTGAATCATGTTGAACCGCTGGGAGTTGCAGAGTTTTTGTGGGCAGATGATGCAGATGGGGGCGTGCAGATTCTCAGTTTCTTGGGTGTTGGAACTTCCGGGTTTGCAGGTCCTTTCGGCCGGCTTTCCGCTTCGTAGGCAGAAGGCTATCGGCAACGCCTCTCCCCAAGAGCGGGAGACCTTTGCCGAAGCGCTGCTGCCACACGCCATGGACCTTTACATGTCCCCCCACGGCGGCTGGGCGACACCGCGGCACCGGGCGAGTTCGGGCGACACCGCGGCACCGCCCCGGGCAGTGTTACTAAGAACGTGTTCCTGGTCCAACGTAGTTGGTGCATGGAGGTTTCAAAAGGTACAAGATTGTCAAGACACCCTGAACTTGCTCGGGATGGGGTTTCTATGCGAATTAAGTTGTTTGAAGCACAACCAGGCCCAACATTCCAAATAAGAGATTCTGTTTTGTTTCCTTCGACGCCATTCGACGCCGCCTGGAAACACGCACGCAAAAGTCAAATGAACAGCCTCTCAGTCTCAATGCATTTCAAGAACAGCAGTTCAAACAGAGGAGAACTGAAACCCAACCACTTCAAGATTGAACATTCATCAAACATCCGTTTCGGTTTTCCGCGTGTCCCATTTCTCTGTTTCAGGCACCATCCACCTTGGCCTGTCCGAGCTCCGACCACGTTCCGAGCCGAGGCAACCACGTCTTGGCCAAGCTCATCGAGGTCCTGCCTTCCACCCGCTTGGCTGCTCGCCACGGATCCGATCGCAGGGAGGGGAGGAGGCACTCCTTGGCTCTTAGAAGACTCATCAGTGTCCAAGAGGGGTGATAAGGTGGCAGTTCTGCAAGAAATCAGCTGATCAATTTGAATTTCAATAATTTGATTCCCATTGATTCCCCACTGCATCTCCGAGCTCGAAAAATCCAGCGTCATAGGACCTCTTGAACAACCGCCTAGCCCTAGGCCCTAGACCTTCCCATGGCACCCCATTGATCCCAAGACACGCACCTTTCGCTGCTTCATCCGACCTCCCTTTAAGGTGTGCATTGCCCAGCGGATGCGGGGCCAGGCCACCAGCGTGGCACGACATCAGTTCGGCAGCCGCATCTTGGAGCGGCTCATGGAGCACTGCACCGAGGAGACCGAAGCCAACAGCACACGTTGCGCGCATGCGCGTGCGTGCGCGTGCGCGCATGCGACATCGCTCATGGGCTGGGAAGCAGGAAGGAATGAGAAGGCGGACAAGGTCTTGTGGTGCCCATTTTTGGTGGCCGGTACTTCTTCCATGTTCTTCCTGTAGCGGGCCACGGGTAGGATCATGGGGATAAGGATGTAAGCACAAACATTTGGACTTTCTGGCTGAATGATGTGCCACGTCAGGAGCAGATTGGATTCCTGTTGGATGAACTTTTTGATGATGAACAAAACTTGGAAGCTTTGGCACGGCACCCCTTTGCCAACTTCGTCGTGCAACATATCTTCGAGCATGGCATGGCTTCACGGAAGAGCCACTGCTTCCGGATGCTCCTTCCCCACGTCTTGCAGCATGCAACTCACAAGACGGCGAGCATCTTTGGCCAAGCTTGCCATACTCGATGGATGTTTGTCCACCACCGGCTCAACAGTGTCAAGGTTATGTTGCGATTTGCTCTAGGGCCCAATCACTCCTTCAGTTCGGAGGCCTATGTCAAGTGTCAAGCAAAGTGCTGTGGGCCTGGTTCTCAAAATATGGTTCGGGCAGGATGCCGCAGATGCCGGAGTCAAACTCGATGCCCTATGTAGCACGCTCGTTTACCCATTTCGTTTGACTCCATGTCCTTGGCCCAGATTTTGCGTTTGAAGGGCTGTTCGACTAGGGCTGGGACTCCAGGGGCATTTGTTCACCCACTGACTACGTAAGTCAGTAGCACCAAAGGTTACCACTCTCCTTTTGGGCAGTAGATGCCTTGCCTTGCATTGCCGTGCAGGTCATGTCCACCCATTCAAATCATTTAAGAACTGCCGATTTGTGTTTCCATTTATGATTGTCAGTTACCACCTGCTTTTCAGTCTTGAAAAGACTAGGCTGGTTTGAAGTTGCAGCGATTTGCACACCTGTTGGCAACCTAGGCAACGTGGTCCAAAGGATGCTGGAGCACGCGGATGTGACTGGCCAAGCCTTGATTGCCGATGCCTTCCTTGCCGGTGAAGGTGAATCTTCCCTCGAGCCTTGGTCGCCACTGATGGATCATGTGTCTTCTTTTGGATGAAAAGCCAGTGCCTTCATTAAGTCCCCAATGGAAACCCATAAGCAGTACTGTAGTGTAGGGTTGTTCATTGCTGACCCCTTGGAAGCAGATACTTCCTTTTTTTTCTATGCGGACACCTCCCCCCACACCATCCTCTTGTCCAGACGGTGACGTCCCTGGAGGAAACCATCGCCGCCACACGCTACGGGAGCTTCGTGGTGCACAGCTTGGTGGACAAGCTTCATCCCCGAATCGATGCAGTGAAAGCACGTGTCAAGGCAGCCCATCCACAGCTCCAGGAGCTCTGGGTCTTTGGGACCGGTGGACGGATGGAGGTATGGGAAATCCTTCAGACATACCGCACATCCATGGGCTCCAAACCCGCCGCTTTTTCGTGACGGCCGCGCGGAGCGGAACGTGTCACCCGTACGGGAGGCGGTCGGTGTCACCGTACGGGAGAGGATCCTCCCTCATAGAATCCGATAAACCAATGTGCATGCGTCGCATGCGTTAGTCCTTTTTTCGCGGAGAGGGATCTACCCCGCCATGACGTTTGTTGAGGACTCTTGCAGTAGTTCAGCATTGTTTCAGTTTGGGGTGCGGAAGCTGGCTGGCCACCAGGGCATCGTTACCTCCCGAAGTGTTGAGGCTGGCTGAATAACACAAGTGGTTTAAGCCGGCTCACCAGCACCAAGTCTACTAGTAAGGGGGTTTTGAGGCAGAAGTGTGCAGTTGCAGCGCGTTATTGATTGAGAGGTTTGATCATCCCATGCTTAAAGTCTACTCTTGGGTTTGGCTCCTTCATTCACTCTGATGGGAACTTAGAGTATTACATCACGGGTAACAGACCTCCATAAAACTTATGCCTTCGCTATTCTGCTGCTGCTAGAGTATGAAATCAATCACTGTCCCAGACCCTTTCCCCAAAAAAAATATGTTTACAGATATCAAAGGTTGGATTTGCTGCACTTTTTTTTGTTTACTCCCTCTTGCCGGAGATTAGCTTGCAGGGACTCTTTGTGAAATTGTGCGCGAAGAACCCTGACAGGAATCCAAGTTTAGCCAAAAAAACATCTTGGATTTCCTCGGTGAGGCGTTCTTTGCTGACTGAAGGGTCAATGCATAAGACGAGCGGACCTATTGGCGTTGTGTGCTGTGAGGCTAAGATGGGCCCACGGTGCAAGGCATAGGTACAGGCTGAGGGGTCAGGTGGGTTTTTGACCCAGGAATTTTCAGCATCGATAGACGCGCACGCGGCAGAAATGGGCGGGATGGCCTATCAGTTCCGGGCCATCCCGATGTCATTCAGAAGTTGGATTTCTTCGCTTGAACATTTACTGTACACCTAATTCCAATTGTATATTAAACATTCTATGATTGTGTAGTAATTTATTCTATTCAAGACAGAGCAGCTCACAGGTGCACATCCCGCACTTGTGAGATACAGAGTGATCCACGGTCGTTCTCTTGCCAAAACCGTTGGTTCTTGAAGAAATGAAGCACTTCATCGAAGTGGATAACGCCGCTGGCGCTAGGCTTGGGACCACGGGGTTTGCCTGCCTTCAGAGCTCAGATTGATGTCTCCCGAGACCGGGGCACTTGTACAGCCGGGTGGGCTTAATCCTTAGGAGCCCTCCGGTCGCCCAAAAAAAAGAGTGCATCAGTCTGAGGACAAAGCTGGGGAAGAACTTTTGGCGCAAGGTCATCCATAGGGCTCATGGTGCCACCCCTTTGTAATTAGTAAGTGCTTTTGACCAAGAACGCGCTTTTGTTTCCATTGGCATGCCAGATATGGCCATGAGGACCCCAGTTGTGGCAGGGCCAAGCTGACCTTGCACTGCACTTGGTGGAAAAAGTTGGGCCTTCCTGACAGTCACCTATAGCTGCATAAGGCGCGCCACCTCAACACCCCCCGGCCATGGGATGGGGGGTGTTTTAGGAATCCTCAGCTACTCGATTCTCGGCAGCTAAGAACCCCGAAGCTTCCGACCCCAGGTAACACATCAGAACACTTGGAACCATGGGAATGGCTGGTTGGATACTGTGGATCTCTTTGTTTGGCGCGTTGGCGTCGATGCGCATACAAGGAGGCAACACACACACACACATATATATATATAGACACAATAATAATAGATTGTTTAAACATGTTTAAACATAATATCATAATATGTGTATACTTTTTGTGGTTGCATGTTTTTTAAAGTGTTGGTATAAGTTAGTTTGGAAATGTACGTAATGTTAGTGACACCTTGTGTTTTTTTTTTGTGCAATGTGCGGGTGCACTTTCAACCAGTGCTGTCGGACTGCTTGGAAAGGCTGACTCCGAATGGTCTCAGTGGTGGACTTCAGGACTGACGTCCAAATGTGGCTCAGAGAAGTAACACCAAATGGCCTGGCAGATAGATGCATCCACCTTTTTCTGAGCTTAAAAGTGGAACGAAACAAACATCAGGTGCGAAAGTCAGCCTCTTAGCCCAGGAAAATACAGAGATCCTCCAGTACGTTTGTCTCCGTGCAGGGCAACAACAACAACAACAGACACACTACAAAGTCACAGACAAAACAACATGGAGCACGTGTTCTTTTTTCTGTGGGTCTTGTCCTAGTCTCTTCAGAGCCCCACCCCTCACGTACCGAGTCACCCTGCGAGCCCCCTTCGTTGGTGAATCCACGCGACTCTTGTGATGTTAGTGAATGGCAATGCCCTCCTTCCGCGCGCCGACCAACTGGTGCGCAACGATCAGCTCGTCCAGGCGCGGAGGGCGCGGGGGGGGGGTTATATAACCATAGAATCCATAGAAGGACGTGCCATGAAGGACCGGAAGGATGGTCTGAACCTAAGCGCTTCCAAGGGGAGACCTAAAGAGGGTGTCCATGAGTGGTGTCCATGAGTGATCCGGACCGGAGACGATCGGTGTGTCAAAGGTATTGGACACTTACGGTAAACCAATGCCCCCGGTAGCGAAGACTTTTTGGGCTTCACTCCCTAAAGATTGTCTTCAAAATTGCTTTCGGCTTCAAGAGTTTGTGAGGGCTTTCGTTGGGGATCTAGGCAAGAAGAGGCAAGACCCCAAGCCCCAAGCTGGTTGAGGGCGAAGCAGGCTCTTAAAAAAGAAGGTTGTGCGCTTCTGGTAATCAACATAAAATGCAGTCGATTTTAGTCGTAAGGTTTTGCAGTGACCCAACCATACCCAACCCCTCTCCAAAAAACAATGACTTCAAGGAACTTCCTTTGTGATATCCATGTTGATCCACAGCCAACTTTGTTCGTTTGCTAGCTTCAGATGGAGGGAGAGGTCTTCATTTCGCCAGCCATGATGTCAGGAGCACATCCGCAAGAAGCTTCAGAAGCAGGACTTTGAGCAGAGCGTAAAGGTGGCTAGTCAATTGCCCATTGCAGCCTTTTGTCACACTTCGTCACCTTTGTATCAATTGCATGTCTTGAACCATCTCATCTTGATGCCAAATCCCGAACAATTGTCACGAGCGAAGCTGCGGGCCAAAGCAGGGATGGCCACGTACCGGTGATGGCCATCTCGGCTCGCCCCTTGCGTCGCTACATTTGTCCCGAATAGCAACACTCCCGAGACAGCATTGGTCAACTCTTATGCAAATCTGGTGGGCTTCATACAAACTGTTGATGAACAATACACCCCTACTAGAATGGCAAACATGTCAAGCATCTGAACATGACAGTTGGATCACCAGTCTACCGTGTTTGATTGATGCAAAATTACTTGGAGGAAACCTTACTGATCTGTTTCTCGTTTCTTATTGTCCATTCTGTGTTTCTTGGATGGCACAAGGCTCAGCTCCAGACCAAGCACTCGCATCGTCGGCAGAAGGTGTTGGTCGTGGCCAATCGACTTCCCACCAAGCCGCTGCTAGGCTGCGTGTCCTCACATGGCCTCGGCACCCCTCCTCAAGAGTATTCTAATGCAAGGTTTTGATCAGGGTGTGCAGATTCACAACATGATCATTGGCTTTGGATTGTATCATGTCAATCATGTTTAAGGATGTTTAAGGTGTTCGTGTGTGTTGTTGTACCTTTTCTTTGGCACCGCAAAAATGGTTTCCAGACTTGTGTGGAAGTGATTCCAGCACAACCCGGAAGAGTTGCCACCGCTAAGCAGACTTGCATCCTGTAAACCTGCAGATACACACACACACACACACACGCATATATATATATATATAACCACATATAACATATAGAAGTATGTATAGAACATCACTATTGACTTAGGACTTTGACTCATGCGCTCAGGAAGCGTGATGCTGATGGCAACTGGACCTTCGAGCGCTGCTCCGGTGGCTTGGTGTCCTGTTTGGCAGGCCGGACCCGGTGCCGTGCAATTTCGGATCCGTGGGGCCGAACGAACTGGACCAGCGAAGCGAACTGGTAGAACCATATCGATGGGTTGAGCGATTTTGGGTGGCTCCAATGTCATGATGCTAGAAAGAACATGGCCCCGGAAGGGATTGGACCGAAGATGTGTGACATGTGAAGGATGATTCCAGACTTGGGATTTCGGGCTGAGTTTGCCCTGAATTCATGAGATGGCGTGGCGAGGTTGATTGGCATGTAAATCAGTCGCTTAGCCTCGTGAGAGGGTTGATCAATATATGATTCTTAGAACTTTGGAAATCCTCCAGCACCTTCCTTTCGACGTCACAGGGATGGAAGCCCATACATAGAACCATAGATCTCCGGAGGAAACCCCGGCCCGACAGAAATGTCCTTTGTGACAGATGATTTGTCGCGCACCAGGCATTCGAGCGAAGTTTGACATGGTTTGGCTCGGTTGGCCCGGCGCGGACTTCAACGATGTGGAGAAGGACATTGTGGCGAATGAAGCCATGAAGCAAGGCGAAGGAAAACGGAACGACGTGGCGAAACAGCAAGGCCGTAGATGAAGACCAAGTTGGGGCAACAAAGAGTCTACGTTCTTTCGAAGGTTGTCATGTGCTGATGATGATAGTTTTTGTGCGATCCCTTGCATTGTGGGGACCAAATCATAGTGTAACGAAAGCAAGCCACACAATATGACACAATTATAGACCCCCACGGATCAACAAGGACACATAGACACTGAGCATCACTGAGCACTCTGTGTGGGTCGTGGGAGGTTGCTATCCGGTCTTCCTCCGGCAGAATCTCATCGATGAGAGCCTCGGCACATACATGTCCGGTGGGGCATGCTACTTCGTCGAGGCTTCGGGCACCCTCAAAGGAGAGGGTGGACTACGAGGTATGTGGGTGCTTTGAGCAAAGGCGGCTCTGACTTTCATGGGTATATTTGCCCGTGTCATGGGTCTTTGAATGTCTTTGCATGTCCCATTCCATATGTGCGACCCGTCACCATGCATGCCCCCAAACATGTTCATGTTATTAACTTGTACGTGTTATAGCACGTAACCTATGATGGCTTCGCTTATTATTTCAACCTAGCCGCACTTGCTGACACTTATGTTCCCAACGTTTACTGGAACCATGAGCATCCTAATTCGAGGTACTACAATGGCTTTGCAAACAATGTCTTGTGGCCGCTCTTCCATTACATCATGCCTCCCTTTGACAAGGGGGTCAATGAATGCAGCACAGGACTGGCCCCAACTCCTCTCAAAATCGCGAAGCGATGTTGGCAGCATTCGTGCGCCAAGCATGCCCCCCAATTGAAACGCCATGTTGCTGTTACTGTAGGATCATTTGGCACTGTGTGTCGGTGATGTTGCTTTGGATTTCTGATGATTTCTGACATTTCTTGGCCAGATGACTTTGCAATCATTCGTCACGGTTGCAAGTTAGGAAGCTTTTCCACTTCAGACCGAAGGTTTGATGTACCATTTGCCATCATTTGCCTATGAAACCCGTTTAAATCTGGGACATCCTTGATGAAAAGAAACCATGTTCAATTCCAGCGGCTTCTGGCCGCCGGCAGCATCGCATGGCCTCCCAACAGGACAATGGGAGGCCTACCGAAAGGCCAACGAGATCTTCACCGAGGCGATTTTGTCCGTCTACGAGGACGACGACTATGCCGCCCAGAGCGGACTATACGCAACGTTCTCGGCGTGGTGCGGAGCTGGACGTCGGGTTGAACCCGGGGTTGGGGGAGGGGGGCGTTTTTTGCGTCGCGTTCCGCTGTGTGGGAGGGAGGGAGGGAGGTTCCAAGTGTCCAATAAAAGTGGATGTCATCCACCAAGCCAGGTGAACGTGAGCCAGTTCTGCCACGTCCAGTGATGGGGTCGAGTTGGGGTACCCCAAGGATTGAATGAACTTGTTGCAAAAGTGGATTGTGAAACATCTCGAGACCCTTTGACAAAACTGCGGGAGGTGTTTATGTTTGTTTGTTTGTCCTAGTCCTAATGCTACCGTAGCATATATTTGCACATCGGCTTGATTGCGAAGTGGAATCCTCAGGGAACAACTTGGCGAATTATGGTGTGTAGATCAACCACAGCCTCCGTTTTTCAGACATTTGATGAAATCTGTGAGGGGCAATTGAAGTCAGTGTCCACTGCGTTGTACCTCTCCGTTTTTGCAGGCCTTCCAAGGCCACTTCTGAACAGAGCGCCCTAGTGCTGAAGTGTTCATCCAGAGTTCATCCTCATTGCAGAATCCGGGGATGATCTGAGGTTTGGATTCACGACTACCACTTGATGCTGGTGCCCAAGTTTCTGCGAGAAGCCAAGCCAGACTGCAACATTGGCTGGTTCTTGCACACACCATTTCCATCCGCGGAGATCTACAGGACCTTACCCTGGCGACAGGAGATCATTGAGAGCTTGTTGCACGCGAACCTCTTGGGCTTCCATGCGCCTCGGCGGGTACACGTACCGAGGCGATGCACGGAGGCGTGCGTACCGTTGGCGTATGGGACCACCATGGGTGGGACCACACCACCCATGTTGCACCACTATGTACCATTATTTTTAAAAATTGGATTGAAACAGGTCCATTCTTTCAGTCCATGGCATCTCAGGTCTATGATTATTTGCGGCACTTTCTGTCCTCCTGTGTCCAACTCACCTCTCTGGAGATCTCAGCCCATTCGGTGGACGCCACGTCCATCGGGGGCTGCATCGTGACCTGCGCCACGGTGCCGATTGGGATCTCCCCCGATGAGTCGCCTGGCGTGTCCGGAGTGACCGGTGACCGCAAACGTTTTGTTTTTTGGGGGTGGGTGGGGGGTGCCGATGTGATACTGAATATATGTGGTGTTTTTTGGGGGCTTGGCTTGCCCATGACAACATTGGGGCAGTCATTGGGGCGCATGAACTCTTATGAAGTATTTTCCACCCATTGACCAAGAAGCACGCCGCAGGTTCCTCACAGGCCTCCAGAAGCCGGAGGTGAAGCAGCAAATCGAGCAATTGCATGAACAGTACGCCGGAAGGAAAGTCATACTTGGAGTCTCGGACATCAAACTCTCAAGACTTGGAACAGGGAAGGGTTCTGCCTCAGGTACCTCAGAACGACATATACATAATACACATAATAAGACTGACATACTGTAAGTATATGATAAAATATGTATACAGTTAGGTATGCAGATATAATATACTTCTGGTAGTACTTCTGGTGATACCTCGCAGCTACAATCAGGTGATACCTCAGATCTGGCTTTAGAATGTTGTAGAAACTTCTGAGCCACCTAGACACCTTGCCATTTGGGTCTATACCATCCCCCTTGACCCCTTGGACAGCATGCACCATAAATAGTGGTACCTCGTATGTCCAGTCCTCGAAGCACTTTATCGTCACCACTATATTTGGAATTCGAGCTGCATCAAGGTATCATCGGTATTCAGCATGATAGCTTGTCAGTTGCTTGAGGGAGTCCATGATGTTTTAGAATCAAATGTTGGCAAGGTTCTATTGGCCTGAGTTCGATGCCTTTTTGTGGGGGCTCCATCTTGCACAACCGCCTTGTCGGCTAGATGTCAGGGTTGGGTCCGGTGGGCAAATTGTTGTTTCACGCTAGGATATCGTATACATGTCTCACTTTACTACCGTTTGGCTCAAGGAAAACCAGGTGCGACTTGTTGGTAGTTCTCGGTCGTTTACCTGTAACTACAGGTTATCAGCCGTATCGCCATAAGTGCGGTACGTGCTTTCTACTAGCTGTGGTCTCACCCCACCCTAGGTAGTGCACTATCTAGAGGCCATGGCTGATGATGATGGTTCCCGTGGTGACCGCTCACGATCAGGCTACGTTCCTACTTCGCCTGCGATGTCCAGTTCACCTGCTGCTGATCTCCCTGTTGTTCCGCTGGAGTTGCGTGTACCAGTTGCGCCACCAACGTTCAGTGCACAGGGGGACCTGTTGCCTAGTGGTCAAGCACCATCGCCGTTTCGACCTGAGTTTTCTCCTGTGATGAATGTTCAGAACGTTGATGCGAGACAGATCCATCAACAAGCAGTCTTCGTCAATGAGGACAGGTCAGCACAGGTAGCTCAGATCGCAGAGTTGCGGCATCAGGCCATTTTGGCCGAGCACGGGCAACAAGTAGCTGAGGAGGCTAGGCATTTTAGAGACGTAGTGGAGAACCAAGCTAAAGTGGCTGTCCAGGAGTCTAGGGAACAGATTGAGGCTTTAGCCAATCAACGATTGAGTGACATGAACCAAGCCCATCAAAATCAAAATCTTCAAGAACAACGGGCTTACCTAGATCGCATTTCGCTCGAACGACACACCGTCGTTGAGAACGAACGCGCCTCTGCCAAGCAAAGAGAGGATGCACTTCGGTCAGAGTTAGCAGAACAGAGTCGAATCATCAAGGAGTTGAGAGAGAGGTTTGACAACGCCTCGGGGAACCGAGTGCCTGCACCACCAGTGCAGCCACCTGGGTCTCAGGTGTCCCCAGCTTTGCCTCCAGCGAGCCTTCGCACTCAGTTGGAGAAGCCCGGGATCGAAGGCGGTGATGAGCCTCATCCATCCGATGCTGATGAAGAGGGTGGTGACAAATCAAAGAAAGACAAGAAGAAGAAAGGTAAGGATAAGAAGAAAGAGAAGAGCCCTAAGAGGGGCCGCTCGAGGGAGCGCAGAAAGAAACGCTCTCCTTCCCCATCACCATCGTCGCCCAGTTCATCAGGAGGGAGTGATGACTCAAATGACTCAAGCTCTGAATCATCGCGTCTTGCACGCATCATTCGCAAAGAGTTGAAGAAGCAGCAAAGGAAGTCGAAAGACAAGGATCATGAGAGTAAAGCCAAAGAAGCTGACAAAATTCTCATTCCCAAGTTCCCCACGCCTGAGAAGTACAGAGACTGGAAGATCAAGGTGAGGGACAATATTGCTGCAGCTTCAGCGAAGCCGGATGAAGCAAGATCTTGGGTTGGGAAAGTATACAAAGATTCCCAAACCATTGGCGCCTTGGATGATTCAGAGGGATTTGCAACCCTCGACGCAAAGCTTCTTGCAAGCTTAACCAATTGCGCTGAGGGGGACCTCGGTCGGCAGATTGCTACATTCAAGGAATTGCGTGCTCGTGAAGACAAGAACGTGAAGGGCAGACACTTGCTCCTTCGGTTCCACGAGTATTTTGCCACAAGCATAAAGCATGGAGCAATCTACGGACTCGAAGACCTCATGTCCGTCAAAATGGTCAACGATGACCTCAAGGGCTTTATAAATAAATGGGATAGCGTTCTTGCCGGAATGAAAAAGGAACCAGAAAACAGTGTTCTGGAAGCCTATTTTCACCTGGCAGTGAAGCGTTTCAAGCCGCTTGAGCATGACTTGGCCTTGTACGACCGTGCAGCCGATGGAAGCAAAGAAAGAACATATGACTTCCTGATCACTGCTGCCCGGGCCTACCTCGAACGGAAGAGGTTGGAAAAGATGCGCGACGCCACGAAGCGTTCGCTCGGGTCCAAAGACACAACCATGCCAGCTCCGGAGGAGAAGAAAGGCATCTGCTACGAGTTCCAAAAGACCGGAAAATGCAAGCGCGGATCATCATGTCCTTACAAGCACGAAAAAAGGCCGCGAGAAAAGCAAAGGAAAGGGAAAGGGCAAGGATCGCAGCCAATCTCGGTCAAGATCGCTGACACCAGGATCTCGCAAGGAGACTTGCAAGTTTTGGAAGGCAGGTCATTGCCACCGAGGAAAAGACTGCGCATTCCAACACCCTGAAAAGACTGTCCCTGCGAAGAAAGAGGACAAAAAGAAGAAGAAGAAGAAAGACAAGAAACCTCGCAAGCGAAGCAGCTCACGAGGATCATCAGGCTCCGAAAACTCAACTGGCTCTGAGAGTCAGAGGAGAAAAGGTGGGAAGTCTTCTTCTTCCAATGCACCGGCAGCGGTATGCCTCCTTCGAGCAGTGGTCATGGCCGCAGTGGTCTCTCAGGGATCCTCCGTCCTCATCACTCGCCCGCTGGGAAGCGTGGCCATGCCAGTCCTTTCCGCATCAAACACTATGTGCACCGATTTTGACAACACAGAAAACATTGACAGTTTTGTTACGCAAAGAGTTCGTTTTGACGATCATCCAAACGTTTTCGATCATGCTGTTGAGTCTTCTTCCAGTTGGAGATCCGTTCAACCCCGGAGTAAGAAGAAACGAAGACCCTTTACACCAGGTCGACCGGAGCATGCTGAGGCAGTTCGTGTCGCCACTGAGGACGCATCCATTGCAGCATCACACCTTCAGAATGCTGTCAGGAACGAGCTGTTGTCCTTGCCGGCAGAATGTTCGTACCTGTGCAACTCTGATATAGGTTGCATCAAGTGTTTTGAGAGGAGGTCATGTCCAACAGTGCCAGCCACTGAGATTGCATGGATTGCAGATACTGGCAGCGCACACGATCTTGTATCTAGACACATGCTACATTCGGATGAAGTGTCACAATCGTCCAAACCGGTCAGTCTTCTTACTGCCAACGGAGTCTTTCAAGCCACTGACCAAGCCAGAGTCAATGTTCCCGTGTTGGGAACTGATATCAATCCTTATGTCTTGGAAGATAGCCCAGCCGTCGTATCGGTAGGACAACGCTGCATCGACGCAGGATGGAGCTTCCATTGGCCCGCTTACAGTAGGCCGTACTTCAAGAAACCAGACGGAACCAAAGTCAAGCTTGAAGTAGAGGATTATGTTCCATACTTGCCATCAACCACCGGTGTTGCAATGTCCGCCATAGGTCAACCTTACGGTACGAACGATCGGTCAAAGGGGCTGCGACCAATGATCCCTCTGCCCGCGTCACCGGCTGAAGAGGCAATTGAAGTCCAGGACGATGAGGACAACCCCATTGGCGAGGATCCTGTTGAAGATGATCCCGAGCCGGTGGATGAAAGGTTGGTGGAGAAGCCGTTGGACCCGAAGAGGGGTAGGGGAGAGAGAGCTCTCAAGGAAGAAGCACAATCCATTCAACATCTGTTGACTCATACCCCAAAGAACCCCTTTTGTCAAGCCTGCTCGAGAGCAAAGATGACCAAACGTCCATCGTATAGCAAGGGTGGTTCAACCCAGGTAGAGGCGGATCATTTCGGGCAACATTTGACTGCTGACCATCTTGTTATTCGTGACGATGAGGAAATGGACATCGATGGGGCTCGCGTCGCATTGGTCGTGAAAGACGTGGCAACGGATTTCAGGTATGTCTATCCGGCCGCACGTCGATCAACACGTGAATGCATAGCAGCCTTCAAGCATTTTGTCCGTTCGACTGATGATGTAGGAGTATTTTATTCCGACAATTCACCGGAACTCATCGCGACTGCCGAGAGGCTAGGATGGAGGCATCAAACAAGCTTTGCATACGTCTCTAAGACCAATGCTATGGCTGAGAGATCGATTCGGTCCGTCATCGATGGAACAAGGGTAAACCTAGAGCAAGCTGGCCTACACCATCAATATTGGGCTCACGCTGCCAGGCATGCATGCATGGCAAACAATATCGTCGACACCCGGGAGGGTAGTTCACCTTGGTCGCTTCGGTTCGGTGAGAAGTTCAAAGGCCCTTTGGTTCCCTTTGGGTTGAGGATTGATTACTGGATCGGCCCCAAGAACAAAGCCAAACCCTCTCTCAGGTTCGAGCCGACGTCAAACCCAGGGATATTCTTGGGATATGCCGTTCAGTCCAATTTTGTGTGGAGAAAGGAGTTCATGGTTCTACCATTGAAGGATGTCATGGAATCAGACTTCAGTGCGGAGATTCAACCATTAAGAGTCCATCAGATCGCCGTTCCCGACATCGGATTACACTTCCCATGCAAAGGCAGGTACAACATGATAAGAGAAGGTTTGTACCCAGGCATTTCCATTTCGAGCAACCCGCCATCAATTGACGATGTCAAGGCTGCAAACATTGAAGAGCTTGTTGATCAGGAGGTTTTGAAACATGCTGTCGACCAAGAGTATGAACCTGATGAACCACCGGAACTCCCTGACGTGCTAATTGACGAT